CCCGGCTATTTTTTGGTTGCAGCCATCATTGTTGTTTTTTTTGGCGGGTCCGGGCTGGGGATTCGAACCCGCCACCTTTGGTGTACGTGGCTGGCGCCTTAGCCGGTTGAGCTATAGGCGCAGAGCCCATAGCAGTTTTTTATTTGAATCTAGTTTCTTGTCTGTTTTAGCTTTTCTTGCCTGTGCTTTTGGTGTTATATTGCAAAAAGTCTTTCCAAGCTCAGTGTCTTATGGTTTTTTTCCTGTTGGTACTTGGTTCAGTGTTTTTTATTTTAAACAAGTGCCCAATGTTGTCTACTATTTTTTTCTTAGCGTATATTCAGGGGTGTTCAACCTGAGGCCTGAGCACCACATGTGCATTATTTCGGGACTGTTTTGCTCATCTGTGGTATAAGATTTTGCAAAAATCATTCACAGCCCTGTCTTTGCTCATCAGCTTTTGTTAGTGTTTGTATATTCAATGAGTGGCCCAATACAATTCTTCTTCCTCCAAAGTATGGCAGGGAAAAAAAGGTTGGACACCCACATGTGACACAGTTCTCAGTTAAATGGCAGCAGACCTTTTTCTCTTGGATATTATGTTGGTATATGGTATTTATTTATTTATTTATTTTTTTTTTTGAGATGGAGTCTCAAGCTGTCACCCTGGGTAGAGTGCAGTTGCACCCAGGAACCTCCAAGTCTTGGGCTGAAGCAATTCTCTTGCCTTAGCCTCCCGAGTAACTGGGACTACAGGCACCCTGCCGGTGTGTGGTATTTAGCATAACTCCTAGCACAGGGAAGTGTTCCAAAGCTTCAGTCACTGCTCTTGCTGCCATCATCTCAGATTTTAAATTCTTGCCTTTCCTTAAAGGCACCATGAATATTATCATATCTGAACCCACCACTCATCCTTTAGTGCATATAAATACTCAATATCACTTTTTGTGTCAAAATTAGTATCTAGGCTTAGAGTTTGTAGCACAGCGGTTATGGGACCTGCCACATACACCGAGGCTGGCAGGGTCAAACCCAGCCCGGGCCAACTAAACAACAATGACAACTTCAACAAAAAATAGCCATACATTGTGGCAGGTATCTGTAGTCCCAGGTACTTGGGAGCTGAGGCAAAAGAATCACTTAAGCCCTAAGAGTTGGAGGTTGCTACCAAGGGCGACATAGTGAGACTCTGTCTCAAAAATAAAAATAAAAAATAATATCTAACACATGTACAGAGATAACCCTGCATTGATGTTTTTATTTTTCAATTTCTTAAGTAGTCCACAAAAATGAGAAATACCCTCATGTAGGGGATACTAGAACCTTCAGTGGAAGAATGTAATAAAACAGAAGGAAAGAATTATAATGTGCTCAGATATACTTTGTTTGGATTTGTAGGAACACTTACCTCAGTGAATCCATCCTCTCACCTCTGCTTCTCCTCTTTGTGTAAACATAAGAACTTTACCCATAACCCTTCGGTAAAATGTGTTTTCATTTCAGAGATGTTTAACATTCCGGGATGTGGCCATAGAGTTCTCTCAGGAGGAGTGGATGTTTCTGGACCCTGCTCAGCGGACATTATACAGGGACGTGATGTTGGAGAACTATAGGAACCTGGTCTTCGTGGGTGAGGATTACTTTTCTCCAGAAGTAGGGTCTATCCTTGCATGCCTTTCTATTTTTCCTTATTTCCTCTTGGAACTTCCTGTGTTCTTGACTGAGATCAAAGCTGTATTTATTCAGAAATGAAAAGCTTCTCAATGTGGCATCTGGACTTTACCTGTCCCTTTGTTTATGTTATCTGACCC